CCAGAAGACTGTGAGTTCTAGTCCCGCCTTAGTCATGAAAGACAGCTAGGTGACTTTGGGCCAATCACCAGAAGACTGTGAGTTCTAATCCCGCCTTAGTAATAAAAGACAGCTGGGTGACTTTGAGCCAGTCACTCACCCTTAGCCCAATCTACCTCACAGGGTGATGATTGTGGGGAAAATAGGAGGTGTGCTGGATATGTTCTCCACCTTGAATTATTCGTAAAAATAATAAATAAGTAACTCTCCAAATAATGGAGCAAATGAAAAGGTAAAAAATATTGTAGGGAGAATGGACATATGTGTGTAGGTGAACATAACTCTCTCTCCCTCCCTCTCTCTCTCCCTCCCTCTCTCTCTCTCTCTCTCTGATTGTTAGAGAAGTAATTCCTTATGTTGCCTGCTTTTTCATATTGGAAGACTAGATTCTCTTTGTCTATTGACAAGAGCAACCTTTCCTTGCCATGTAAGAACCTCCCCCAGGGAAATTACTGGAAGGTGGTTACTGCTGGAAAACTAATAAAAAAGGTAATTTCATGGGAGCAAAGCCCTAATTAATTCCACCCTCTGCGAAAAGGTTTCTGCAATTGTGGCACATTATTAATTCTTCTTAGTTTTTCTTTTCATGATATGGGTTGAAAAGGTCAAAAGATTTTGCTGAAGATCAGCATATTTTGTCAGTCTGCAGTTTGAAGAGCTTTGCTTTCCTTCCTTCAGACCAACAGCCAGGTAATTAGTGGAATGAAGGCTACCCAGAAGCAGATAATTCTTAGTAATGTTGGTGAAGCCAAATTAGATTACTTAGAAACTTGAAGACAAAACTTCTGTGGTAGGAAAGTGGCCAATCTTTACCATGGACATTTCTCTTGCCAGAGGCTCCCGTTGTAATTGTGATCATTCTCCTTATGATTAGAAATGGGTGTGTACTCTAGAATTGGCCGAAGATGCCATAATCTGTAACTTATTAAGGCAGCAAATTTGAATTTATTTGCACATTACGTTTAAAGCTCTTTTTTCCCCATTGTTTCCAAATCTCAAGGGGTGGCACTTTGCCAAGCTTGGCTGATGTCAGAAGCTAAACAAGATCAGTTCTGGTTACTACATAGATTTGGGGTGGGAGAGCTATCTGGGAACTCCAGAGCTTTTAGCTAGATTAACAATTGGAAAACCTTCCCAGAATAAGGCCAACGACTTCTATGAGTCTGCTAAGAAAACAGAATGCAAACATTCGTTCAGAGTTCAGTTTTACGCAAGATCATTTTTAAGTTTTGGGGCCTAAAGAGGTAAAATATGAATGTCCAAAAATGGGCTTTGTAAATATGTGTTCAACCACTTAGTGTAAATCTGCCTTTGTTTTCTGATTTTTTTTTTTTTTTGGGTAGGGGAGCGAAATGGACATTTTTTTATAGTCTTAAACTAACAGTTGAAAGAAAGCATTCTTTATATTCTTGGAAGAAGTCAGAAGTCATTCTTTGTATATATTTGTGTTTTCTCTTTCTTTTCCTTTCTGCTTTTTCACACTTCTATCCCTATTCACTTTTTCCTCCTTATTGTTTATCTCGATTGTTAGTTTATGTTGTTGTTTTTATATCTTTGCTTTGTAAAAGTTTGAATGATACAATGATATAACAGTGGTGGGACTCATCTCCGGTGGGAGTGGGTGGGGAGAGATGAGTCTGCCTACCAAGATGAGGTGGACCGGTTGCTTTCGTGATGTGGAGACCAAAAATTGGTCCTCAACACCAATAAGACCAAGGAACTTATAGTGGATTATAAAAGGAACAGATTAGACATCCAACCCTTGCTTATCAATGGAGACCAAGTGGAGAAAGTGGCCAGTTTTAAGTTTCTGGGTCCTACCCTAAAAGAGGACCTGACCTGGGGCCCTCACATTGCAGCACTGGCCAAAAGGGCCCAGCAGAGATTATACTGCCCGAGACTTCTCAGAAAACAACAACTGAATGAAAAACTGCTAGTGACCTTCTACCGCTGCACCATAGAGAGTACTTTAACTTACTGCACCTCTGTATGGTTTGCCAATTGCACAGTGGCAGATAGGACAGCACTCCAGAGGGTTAATGTTATTGCCCAGAAGATCATTGGTTGTCCTCTCCCCTCTTTGGAAGAGCTTTATAGCTCCCGCTGCCTTAAGAAAGTTCAAAACATTCTCAAAGATCCATCTCATCCTGGGAACCCTTTTTTTAAGTATTACCATCTGACAGACGGCACAGGATAATAACCTTAGACTGTCTACTATTGACCTCACCCCTTTCCTAAGAGGTCTGTAGGGGGCGTGCATAAGCGCACCAACGTGCCTACCGTCCCTGTCCTATTGTTTCTCTTATTCTTCTTTTATTTTTCTTATATGTACCCATTTCATGTATTCACAACTATGTATACACTTATACTTATTATCTTGTAAACAATTGGCAAATCAAATAAATAAATAAATAAAAACAAGGACAAATAGGCTGAAGAACAGCTTCTATCCCAGGGCAGTAGCTCTCTTGAATTCTGCTGTATAGTGCAGTGTTGGTGGGATGTCGGGGGTTTTCAATTCAATGTGTGGAGAGTGAAGGATGTGTGTTTGTGTTTATTTTCATGGTCATGATGTGCACTGAAAATGGTGTTTGATTTCATTGTAGGAGGTGCAATGACAATAAAGTAAACTAAAGAAGAACTAAAAATAAAATTATCTGAAACAGCAATTTTCTACCAAAGAGTATTTTTGCCCTTTAAAAAAAACATTTTATGAGAATGTCTGTGCCTTTCTGTTTTAGATCTGATCTAAGCAAGGAGATGACCAGAGGCATGAGCTGGTCTGTACATATTGGTCAATCATAATTACCATTATATTAATAAAATAAACCTGAGTGAGGTCTTAAATCCATAAATTCTCTCTTGCTTTTCCCCTCCTGCACAATCAGAAAAAATCTCTTCAGTAGATGTTAGGTTCACTTTTCATTGATTCATTCAAACCTATAGGCATTTAGTAAAAGCCCTAAAAGTAAAAGCTCGTGATTTCATTAAGCTAATGATGCAATTTGTGTCAACTGAGTCAAGATGCCATGACATGAATGACACAGAGAATATATTTGGCATCATTTACATAATCTCATACTATGCCTATGACCTTATTTTTACTCTTGCCTCTCCCAGATGGTCATGTCCAAACCCAAAGCTGCACTTCAGAATAAATCCAGTTTAATTCAGCGTGTCAGAATTAAACTGGAGTTGCTTTAAACTAGCTAGACTTGTGGTTTGTGACAAACTAGTTCTGGTGGGTGTTGAAATTCAATTCTCTTGAAAATTGTTTCTAGTCAAATGAGCCAGTGATGTCAAAGGACCAGCGTAGGAATTAGAGCAGAAATGAGCAACTATGGCCTCTTTAGGACCATGGACTTCCAGAATTCCTGAGCCAGGTCATAAAGGGGCCATAATTGCTCAATCTTCAATGCTTTGTTTGCATTTTTTTCCCCAGGCTCAGTGCTGAGCAATGATTTAGCATCTCATGCAAATTAGCTCAAGGTGAATATGGCAGTTTTCTCAATTATCCTGAATGATGAAACATCTGCATTCTATGTCCCTGTCAAGTAAATAAATAATAGAGTGAGAAATAGGTTGCTTTGCTCAAAATCCTTTTTAGAGCTTATGAGATGCAGTCCTGAGTCCAATTTTTAGTGAAAAATTTCCCATAACTCCCCATTAAAAAGCCCAAATGATAAAAGCAATACTGCCATTTTGAATGACTTGTTATCAAATAAGGTAGTGCAACCATATTTGTTACAGATAGTTCTCAACGTATGGCCATAATTGGGATAAGAACTTTTGTTGCTAAGCTAAGCAGTGGTTAAGTGAGTCCTGACAGATTTGATGATCTTCTTTTGCCATAGCTGTTAAGTGAATCACTGCAGTTGTTAAGTGAATCACACAGTTCTTAAGTGAATCTGACTTCCTCCATTGACTTTGCTGGTCAGAAGTCAGCTGGGAAGGACATAAATATCAGTCACATAACCTTGGAATGCTAATGGCTGACTGAATGAAAAGAAAGACTAGTGTTGGAAAAAATATCTGGGTCCAGTTCCAAGCCAGGAGAGAGGCACTGGAGACAAAATGGAGGCTGGAGGCTGATTGGAAATAGGATCCATTTATTGATGAAACAGAACCACTAAGCACGTGTGATTCTGGGCAACTGACCACATGGAGTTCAGAGTGTGTGGGGGAGTTATACCTTCTCTTGGACTTTGAACTTGAACTTCCTGTTCCTGTGCAAGAACATGTATCCTATTGGCTGTTGTAGGGAGTCATAGCTGGTTCTGTAGGTTGTTTTCTAAGCTATGTTTGGTTGAAGTTTGGAGGGTGGTGCAATGTCTTTAGGAGATTGTGCAATGCGGTGAGGCCTGTTGCTAGATGGTAGTGGGTTAATTCTACCTTTGTTCAGACTTTGCTGCAGGGAGTAAAGGATTACTAAATCTGCATTTCTAAAGCTACCCCAGCTCAGTATCTGTTTGGGGGAGCTGGGGCTCTGAGTTTCTGTTTCCCTTAAGATTTTTATTTCTCTTTTAGTGGAAATCTTTTATCCTGCCTTTCAAAATATTTCTCAAAATATTTCCTTCTTCTAGGAGAAGGGTGGGTGCCAACTTTCTACAATAACATTCTTCCAATATTTGAGGAGAGTTGGTTGACGTATTCTCCAAAGCACCTGAAAGCAGAACAGAAAGCAAAGGATGGGAACTTATCAAGGAAAGATTCAACCTAGAAATAAGGAGAATTTTCCTGACACAATGATTCATCAATGGAACAGCTTGCCTTCAAAAGTTGTGCATGCTCAATTCCTGGAGGTTTTAAGAAGGAACTGTCTGAAATAGAATAGAATTCTTTATTGGCCAAGTGTGATTGGACACACAAGGAATTTGTCTTGGTGCAAATGCTTTCAGTGTAAATAAAAGAAAAGATATATTCGTCAAGAGTCAAGAATCATAAGGAACAACACAATGATAGTCATAGGGTACAATAAGCAATCAAATCATACTAGGAAACAGTCAATATAAATCATGATACAAGCGACAAAGTTACATTCATACAGTCACAAGTGGGAGGGGATGGGTGATAAGGAGTGATGAGAAGGTTAACAGTAATAGTAGTGGAGGCTTTGTAAATAGTTGAACAGTGTTGAGGGAATTATTTGTTTAGTAGAGTGATGGCATACGGGGAAAAACTGTCCTTGTGTCTACTTGTTCTGGTGTAAAGTGCTCTATAGCATCGTTTTGAGGGAAGGAGTTGAAACAGTTTATATCCGGGATGTGAAGGGTCTGTAAATATTTTCACAGTCCTCTTTTTGACTTGTGCAGTATACAGGTCCTTGATTGAAGGCAGGTTGGTAGTAATTGTTTTTTCTGTAGTCCAATTATCCTCTGAAGTCTGTGTCTGTCCTGTTGGGTTGCAGAACCAAACCAGGCAGTTATAGAGGTGCAGATGACAGACTCAATCATTCCTCTGTATGATAACAGGATCTCCTGCTTGAGTAAGGGGTTGGACTAGAGGACCTCCAAGGTCCCTGCCAGCTCTGTTTTAATGTTAAATACATGCTGGTTGCCAAGCCCCCAAATTTTGATAATGTGACCATGGGGATGCTGTGGCAGTTGTAAGTGGAAGAAAAAAATTGCACTTTTTTCAATGCTGTTGTGACTTCATATCAGGGATGTCAGCCTCAAGACCCCTGGGCCGGATCCAGCCTACTGGGTGTTTAGATCTGGCCCATGGGGCTGCCCCAAAGACAGTGAAGGACCAATCTGCAGTGCGTCTTCCAGTGAAAATGGAGCTTGGGAGGACTGTGAGCGGCCCTCCCAGGCTTTGTTTTTGGCTGTGTCGGAGCTCTGTTTTATTTATTTATTTTATTTATTTTTATTTATTTATTTGATTTGTCAATCACTTACAAGTCAATAGGTGTAAGTTTAAACATGAGTATGAATACAGGAAATAGGTACGAATAAATGGGGACAAAAGGACAGGGATGGTAGGCACGATGGTGCACTTATGCACGCCCCTTACAGACCTCTTAGGAATGGGGTGAGGTCAACAATGGATAGTTTGAGGTTAAAGGAGTGGGGGTTAGAGGATGTAACAACAGAGTCAGGTAGTGCATTCCAGGCATTGACCACTCTGTTGCTGAAGTCGTACTTTCTGCAATCGAGTTTGAAGCAGTTTACATTGAGTTTGTATCTGTTGTGTGCTCTTGTATTGTTGCAGTTGAAGCTGAAGTAGTCATTGACTGGTAGGACATTGCAGCAGATAATTTGTGTGCTACACTTAAGTCTAACCGTAGGCAGCATAGTTCAAGGTTGTCTAAGCCCAAAATTTCAAGCCTGGTGATGTAGGGTATTCTGTTGCGAGCAGAGGAGTGTAGTACTCTTCTCGTGAAATACTTCTGGACTTGCTCAATTGTATTAATGTCCGATATACAGTGAGGATTTTCACTGGCAGAAGGCGGCAGGAGGCCGTTGCAACTGAAAACAGAGCCCAGGAGATCATTTTCGCTGGCAGACCGCTGAGGCCACTGCAGATTCCACCGACACAGGTGACTTCAAGCTGGCCCCACCCACCCTGGCCCACCTGAGGTCAAACACAACCCTGATGCAGCCCTCAATGAAATTGAGTTTAACACCCCTGCTTTACATGGTCACTAAAAACGGTTGCAAGTCAATGAGTACCTTTATGGGGCTAAAAGGGACAGACTGGATGTGTCTGACAAATTGAGAATACTACACATTCACTTAGCAATCTTCTATTGATCTCTCTCCAATTATTGATCATACTTAGTTTTGGGAAGAGCCTAATGCTGGGAAAGGTTGAGGGCAAAAGAAGAAGAAGGGGACGGCAGAGAATGAGGTGCCTGGATGGAGTCATTGAAGCAGTCGGCGTGAGCTTAAATGGACTCCAGAAGATGGTAGAGGACAGGAAGGCCTGGAGGAACGTTGTACATGGGGTGGCGATGGGTCAGACCAGACTTTGCAACTAACAACAACAACAAGTTTTGGGAAAAATATTTGGAAGCATGTAGAGAATTCCAGGCAAGAATATTTATTCCAGTTGCTTGAAAGCCACCAATTTCTGGACTCCGGCAATTGGCTCTCATTTTAAGAGTGCAGTCCACACAAGAAGCAAAGGGATGTAATGTAGCTTAGTGACTGGCTTAGGCAGGCACAGGTGTCTCTGAGATATTCTGAATGATGAACACTTTAAACTTTTCACCATGAAATACAACAGATGTGGCACTGTAATTGAGAGGCCTCGGGGAAATTCTCTTTTCCCAGAGCTGGCCTCTCTAGTGGATACTAGACAGGGGGTCTGGTTTTAATGCTGGACTAGCTTGAAGGGTGTGGAATTGTTAACTGATTCCCAGCCAGCTGACTTAATAAGTCTTTTCTTCATTGGATTAGTTCCATGTTAAGGAGTGAAGCTTAGAAAGACTCATAGTTCTC